TAACAATTCAAGCCCTCCGCTAATAGATACTGTCCTCTTTAGACTCTCTCAAGATTTCTAAAATGCGTCTGCTAGGAAGAGGTTTTCACATCCTTAAAAGTAATGTTATGTTCCCTCCTCCAATTGATGTGGGATCCCAAAAGATTGGAGATATGTATGTCTAATATCTATTAGATAAACTATTTCTCAAACTCGTTTATAGCTATCCATTTGCAGTCTATACCGAGTAACAATTCATGGATCCACTCAATCATAGATCATCTTAAGATAAGACAGAACAACAACATTCTAACACAAGGCTCTTTTATAAACATTCTTAAGTTCATCGAATATCATAGATGATAACAGGGATAAACTAAAAATTGAGCAGAAAAACCAGGAACAGAACAGTGATACTTACATCAAAAGTATCTCCATTCTCCACCAAGAAATCCCATGTGATAGTAACGTTGGCATAAGGGTCCAAGGAATCATATTCATCTGTATTTCAATCTATAAGGTTTATATTAAATTTCTTCTATTCCTTCACAAGAGAACCCTTCGTTCAAACGAAACAGAACACAAACAAAACATACAAAGAAGAGGAAAATACTTACAGGAGGGCGAGAAGGAGCAGGTGAGAGAGAAGAAGATCAAAAGACAGGCAATGAAATTTGATCTTTGATCCAGAAACAAACATGGGTTTGTTTGGAAAACGGAAAAGAACGGATTCTCCATACCCTAAACAAGATTGATATTCAAAACCCCAAATAGAGAGCCAGTGGGGGATCTTCAATGAAATCTGAGTTTGGAAACTGTAGGAAATGGAGGCGGCTGGGGATTTTGTGGTTTGAATGTGAAATGTTTGAGATCGAAAAGGGGAAACGAAGGAGATGAAGAAGAAGAATGCATAATGGGGATTGAATGCATGGCATTGGAGTGATGAATGGATGAACGGATGAATGCATTTTCTCGCGGTTTTTTCTTTTTTTCTCTGTGTGGGTGTGATGGGAGTGTGGAAGAAACAGAAGAACGCATTAATTGAGAGATTAATGGAATGCAAAAATAGGATGTTACGGTAAACAATGCGTCTGTTCGTACTGAATTTGTTTTTTTTTCTTTTTTTTTTAATAGAAAATTATTTTTGTTATTTTTGCATGTTTTTTTGATATGATATCTTATGTTTTAAAGAATTATTTTTTCATTTCTAAAAATGAAGGTCAAGAGACTAGCTTCTGCATTTGGCAGGTTCGGGGTGATTAGTACGGTGTTTGTAGCCAACGGGTTGAATGTCTCGAGCGCAATTGGGTGATTTGCCTTCGTTTCAATCACTATTGATCCCCAATTTTTCTACAATATTGATGGCTTGATGTGGCATCTCATGCCAAGGTAGAGATTGTCTTTACCTATACGACCAATATATGAGGTTCCATATCTGTTGGAGAGGGTAACAAGTCATTGCTTATAAATGTGTAGAATTCTCTCTCTAGTAGACTCGTTTTAAAAACCTTTGAGGAGAAACCCATAAGGGAAAGCCTAGAAAGGACAAATATTTTGTAACGGTGGGCTTGGGTTGTTACAATCCACGGTTTATTCTCATTTTTGTATGTGCGAGCTAAAGTTCTAGCCTCTAGAAACTCTCGATATCCTTCGTTTTCTATGTCTTGGTCAATGGAACTTGGATGACATCTCTCCCTTTGTGCAAGGTTCAAGCCCACCCGACGGTGCTATTTACCTTATCCCAACATAATGACGAGTCATTTTTGGTTCTTTTACTTTCCGTTGTTGATTTTCTACTCCTAAATAGCTATTATCTTTGGGTCATGTCACCCGTTGGGTAACATATTTGAACAAACAATTTTTTTTTTTTTTTTGTTAAAAGGCATTTGCATTCCCCTAGAGGGTGTTCAGTGGTTGAATCCAGTCGAGCCGAAACATTTTTCTAGACCTAACTCAGTTGTTCGGGTTCTAAATTTTTTAATATTAAATTGGGCAAGGTAGTTTAGGTCATTTATTTAAAATTTTATTTTTAATAAAAGAAAAATGCTAATATATAAAATTTTCATCCAACTTAATCTAAATATGGTGAACACGTTTAAACAGTACGAATTATATATATAATGATTTGATGAACATAGCGATTCGAATTGAACATCGCGTCGAGAGAGATGCCTCAGCCGAGCAAAGAACCCTGCAAGAAGGAGGCGTGTGACATTCAAGCTTGTCTCTCCAAAAATAACTTTCTTCCTCACAAGTAAGTTTAGATTAAGATTTTCCTTTTGTGTTTGTTTCGCGAGGAATCTCCGATGAAAGATTCTCAAGTTTCTAGGCTGTTCTGTTCATCGATGTTTGATCTTGTTCGTTTTAGTGATTTGCATGAATCAGAGGATAGATGGATTGAATTTGAATTTTATTTCTTTCTTTGTTTTCCTGTATCTGTTGACGAAACTGTGGACTGCTGTATATTCTTTGTGCTTTGCGTTTTTTCTTCCGTTTGAATTATCAGTTATCTCCGTCTGTCGTGAGATCAAGCAAAGAACGAATTAAGCTATAAAGCAGAAATGCGTTTTAATTTGATTCCTCTGTATGGAAAACGTTTGGGCTTTTACTTTTCCCTATGTTTGATCCGTTTCATTTCTCTTCGTGTTTGGTTCATCGACTCACGCACTTAGACCAAGTATTGTAGTCCTTGATTTGGGAAATTTCGAATAGATTACGGAGGTCTGTGTCTGTGCCTAAGAAATTTGTAGAATGTCAGACACCATAAAACATGTCGTTCTTCTTCAAAATTTTGTCAGTAGTTTCTATATGCGATCAAAATTCTGCTGGAAGGTTGTTCAAAATGTGGAAATTCAATAGTTTAGTTCAAATTTTGAGTCCACTGGAATTGATCATACATTTGACAGGCATTATGTCGAATGGATGTTGAAGTTTGTTTATTTTTATGTGTGTGTGTGTACAGCTGTATACTGTATACATAAGGTGTCTGTTGTAGTTCTATGATTATCTTCTGATCAGCAAGTAGCTGGATTTTGTTTTAGTAACGATGTGATTCTTGGAAAACTTGCTGTCCTGATTCAGGAAAAATGTTGTTTTAAACTCAAATTGCTGATCCACAAACAGAATTCCACATCAAGTTTATGCATTTCTCTTCGGAACACTTCATAGAACGCATGCCTAGGATATCAACCCCATTTCCAAAAAAGCCAATTTGATAGATTCATCAATAACCTCGGAGGTTCCAGCTTTCAAGCCCTTGAATCCAACTTCCCTCGGACTGGTCTCAAGTCCCTATGAAGTTTCAATATATTGGGATGTCTCCTAAACTTTTATTCATTGAATATGTCACTTCGATTGAAGAGTAATGGAGGCTAAGGTATTCTGCTGCTTGGCTACAGCTTCTGCTTGGGGAACCTAGAAGCTAGGTTGCAGCTCTCCATTCAATTTCCCAAAATGGTATTTTAACCTTTGAGATGTCATTTGGGATCCTGGTTCGAAATCAAGAACCTTGGGATTTTGGAACCCATGGGATTGATTGGTTGTATTCCTGAAGCTTGGGGTGCAGGGTTGGGTTGGTTGGGTTTTTGAAACTTGTGTTTGAGGTGTAGGGTTGAGTTGGACTAGGTTCCAATAGCCAGTTTTTTTGGGATGTTCTTTAGTTTCCATTTTTTGTGACTTGATAATTTGTTCTGAACTATATATCAATATTCTGTCCCAATTTGTGTAATTTGGCTCAGCCATATTCAAATTATACTACGTGCATCTTTTGTAACCAATCTATGTCTCTCACTTCATACATGGTGATATCATTTTCAATATCACCATCTTAAATGTAGAATGAATAACTCTAAAAGTAGGAAGGATATATTAAAAAATCCATGGTTAAAGCTCGGGTTTTTTAGTCTTTTGTTTTTTCGTTTTCTGTGAATTGTTCTTTGATATAATCTTGCTGAATTTTTGGACAATCTACTAGAAAACAATTGTTCCATCCATCCAAACCAATGGATCAAACGGCCGCTCATTTGTTTTCCTCCTCTGCTGTGGATTAGCAATTTAGGCCAGTTTAATTCTATATTCCCTGGAATCGGGCGACAAATACCAACTCTTAGATGACTCATTACACTTCTCTTAGATGTTGATGACTTTTTTTTTGTGTGTTATGGGTGAAGGCTTTTGCATGTAGGTAAGTTGATGTGTCCCTGATAAGTGTGTGGATTGACATGGTTGTAGGTGCGTCAGGGTTATTCAACTATTGCAGTATTGCTGTGAAAACTGCAATTACAAGTCAACACACTGTGCTTCTGTTTCTGACCTCTTAAAGCAAATGCCAAAGCCGAAAGGCCAGAAATCTTGATCCAAGTCGAGCCAGATGTAATTCAGTCTAGACGTGACAAACTAAATTAGGTGTTTACTTATAACTCAAGCCAACATATTATGGGATGGCACAGCCAATGCTGGACGCTGAATTCTGCTAGTTTTGCAAAATAGTGCAGATGGAAGAGATGAGGCCAGAAAACCAAAATCTTTGATAGATCAACATGAACTAATGCTAATGATGTTACCATTTCTTCACAAAGCCATCAACTTGCAAATCAACCTTTGTGTCCACTCTCTGTTCTCTAATAAAATATTTCTCCATACGTTTAACTATGATACAGGTCAGACATTAATTTTGGCCCTTCTTCATTTTGCATCTTCCGATTTTGATACAAAAATTACTTGAAAGGATTGATTGAACTTGAATGATTCCCTATCCGGACATGAACATAAAAGTGATTGTTCATTTACATGTATACCTTCTTTTGAAAGAATGGGTCAAGTCGTGTCTTAGAGAAGTACCAAGAAATAAAAGGAAGTTTCAATCACCTTCACCTTTCTCATGAGTGCTACCTGCTTTTGATATGACATCACGAACCCATATTTTACGACATGAATAAAGAAAACCAAGGTGATTTTTTGCAACATCTAGAATGAAATGGTTAAGTGGAAGAACCAAGAGAGAAGCCAAGAGAGTTGTGATATGTGGAGAGAGAGGCAATATGTATTACCAATTGATTGATAAAGAATTCTGTTGGCTTGCATCTTTCATATGAATTTTGTGGAGTCGCAAGAACTTGTGTACAAAGGCAATAGGCATTACCCCCATTCATGGTCAAGTCTTGGGAGATAGAATGGAAATGATAGAAAATTCTCACCTTTCTATCTTCTACTTTATCCACAAAGGAACATCAAGGGGGTAGAAATTTGTGATAGAATACAAGTTGATGTCGGCATGAAAAACCTGAACAAAACCAGTACTTGTTTTTTAGGCATCAAGGCAACCTCAAGGAATCTTGCCGTCTAAGAGGAATGCCTTCTGCACCACTAAAACCATCCTCATCAGCATGCTTAGAGAGTCGCAATGAGTTTCCCGCTGAACCTGCATCAGCTTGCAAAGTTATGGACTAAATTCAACTTTTGTGAAAAAAAAAAAACATATCCTTCAAAGTTCAATGTGATAGTAGCAGTTCGTTTTTATTCACATTAAACACGGCAAAGACGAATAGTAGTGATAAGGGAATCCCAAGGGGTGCCCCTAGTGGTAAGGGTTCGAGATGTCTTGGGTTCAAGTGTTGAGCTAAAAACTTCGATAATTTTAACAAGAAACAAAAATCTCCTCGATGTCCAACCAATCATCCTCAGCCAATAATCTAGAAATTACCAAAAGTGAACTTCAATCTTCTTCCACAACTTCCCTTTCTTTTTTCACCCCGAAAGAATGAGAAAACTTCTCATAAGACGATAAAACCTAATAACTTTTAACAATATCTACATAAGATATTTCATCTCTCATCTTAGATAGTTGTTTGATAATTAAAACCCCTTATTATCTCTCTTAGGACAGGCTTTGGGTGTAGCCGTGTAGGACAAAGCCTCTTCGGATATGAGTGGGGTGGGCCATTATATGAGGTTCCTGATACCCAGCTATCAAAAAAAAAAAAAAAAAAAAAAAAAAAAAAT